TAGATCTAGGCCAAAGATATCTCATCTCTTTTTTGCTGATGATCTAACACTGTTTGCTATAGCTAATCAGGGAAACTGCAGCACAATCCTCAACATTCTCAACCAATTCAATCAGGCCTCAGGGCAGAAAATCAATCTCAGCAAATCCAAAGTCTGCTTCAGTGCCAACTGTCAACCACACCAAATGGAAACCATCTCAAACACCCTTGCCATCCAGGCATCAGCCTCCTTTGAGAAATACCTGGGTTTCCCAATTTTCCACAAAAGACCCACCCACAATGACTTCCAATTCATCATTGACAATCTTCACACAAAATTGACTGGGTGGAAAACTAACATGCTCAATATGGCTGGAAGAACTATGCTGGCTAAATCATCACTCAACACAATGCCTAACCATGTCATGCAATACATTAAACTCCCTTCCAAAACATCCAAAGAAATCGACAAAATCCAAAGAAATTTCATCTGGGGTACCACCAGTGTAAAAAAGAAAATGCACCTGCTATCCTGGGATACAATCACAAAATCAAAAGCTGAGAGTGGTTTGGGAATTCAGAAAGCTGAGCTGAAAAATAAAAGCAATCAACTCAGGGATGGCATGGAGACTCAACCAGAACCCCCACTCTTTCTGGGCAAAAACTCTCATAGCCAAACACTGCAACTGGAGACAACCACCAAAAAAATCAAAGTCTCATATCTGGAAATGCATCCTCAAAGGGTGGGAACATGTATGCAAGACAAAAGATGGGTTGTACACTCAGAGAATAGAGTTAATTTCTTTAATGATCCTTGGATCCCAAACTTCCCATCAATCAGATCCATCATAGAGGGACCTCTTTCCAAAGAAGACATGGCCATCACAGTGGCATCTGTCCACAACACTAGGGTTTGGGGTTTTTCTTCTATATCACTAGACATACCCTCAAGCATCAAGAACACAATCCAAAATACTTTCATCACACCAAACCCAATTAAAGAAGATATAATGATCTGGGGGGGCTACCACTAATGGGATCTTCAGTCTAAAGTCAGCATATTCCCTACTTCACAACCTTGAATACCAATACTGTGAAAACACAAGCAACAATTACCTGTGGATCTCGAAATTTAAAGTTCCTAATAAAATCAAGTCCTTCTTCTGGCTCCCATCCCATGACAGGCTCCCCACCGGCTACTTCCTCCACCATATTGGGATCCAATTAGACCCAAAATGTTGCTTCAGCAACCAGGCAATTGAAACATCTGCTCATATAGTCTATGACTGCCCCAATGCAAACAATTTTGGACAAGGCTTGTCTCTAAAAGTACAAACCTCCTCCCAAGTCAGGTCCCATCCTTCAATAGTAGAGATTGGCGAAACATATGGGATTTTCTTAGAAATAAACCATTCAACAGCTTCATCAATTGGGAAGATCTAATTCCTTTCTGCTTCTGGCAAATCTGGCTCACTAGAAACAATAACCTATTCAACAAAAGAAAGGATGTGGTAAATTTAAAAGTTGCCATAGCTAAAGCAATTGAGTATATTACCTTTTCAGTAAATAGTTCACCAACAAAAAAAAAAGAATTATTTGGGTCAAATGGACACCACCACCCACCAATTGGTACAAGCTCAATACTAATGGAGCTGCACTAGGGAACCCCGACAAGAGAGGAGTGGGAGGTGTGTTCAGAAATGCAAGTGGGAATTGGATTATGGGCTACATGGGAAGTATCCAGCATACTACAAATACACAGGCAGAATTGCTTGCCATCTAAGTGGTCTGCAACTAGCGGAAGAAAGGCACCTTTTACCCTTGGAAATCAACACAGACTCCACATAGGTAATTAGAATGCTTACCAATGGTAACCTTATTTTTGACTGTATCATCTTTGAATGCAGGTCAATCGTCCAAAGGCTAGGAGATGTGGTGGTGAAGCACAGCTACAGGGAGACGAACAGAGTAGCTGATCTACTAGCCAAGGAGGGAGCCAAGAAGACTCTTTTTTAAAATATTTTTATAACAACAGTTCCTCCGGTGTTTGCTGCACATACTTTTTGGGCAGACATCACAGGAACTGTTTCATCAAGACAAATTTTGGATTGTAATATTGACAACTTTAGTCACAATGAGGGTGATCTGATATACACCCCTCAAAACAATGATAATGTCAATTGGCACCCTAACATGTAGTTTCTTTTTATAATAATTGCTCCTTTTAACCCAAAAAAAGGGTCTTTATTGTGGGGCTTAGTCCTGACAATTTTATATTTACCTTTGGTATATAGGAATGAATTAAAAAAATTTGCTTTATAATCTAGCTTTCTTATAATTTTTTTTTTTTTTTTTGATGAAGTAAGGGAATTTCATTAAATGGCATCAAGAAGATGCATAGCAAAAATTAGTAAATTACAATATAAAGGTATTGTCTGCACATATACAAAAACTTACAGGACAACTAAGGAGCAGACAAAATCCAGAATTAGTTCTACACTAGTTACAGGGGCCATATTGAACCAACTAAATAAGTTAATTAAACAAGTGACTTTAAGAGTGTGGTTGGGAGTTAGCTTTCTTATAATAAAATTGTATTGATTCTATTGGATAAGCGGAAAAGTGGATTCATTATGACATCATCTACTAATAAATCACCTTTAATTATCTTTGGAAACTAAAAAGTAGATAGATGATAATAAATCTATAGCTATGTTTTTTTTATAACTATGGTTATTTGATTCTCTGAGAATTCTTTTGAAGGCAATAATGCCTGATTGGGCGATTATTTGTGATCCATTTAGTTCGCACATTATTAAGTTATGAATAATTTTTTCTTATGTGTATTTCTCCAAATAGTAGTCATCATATGATGCGCTGCTGAGAGTTTTTCATCAATAAGAAGTATCAATGTCTTGTTCTTGATGCTCTAACCTTCTTTTTTGGGTTGAAAATAATTACAAACTCTTGTTGTTCCAATTTTATATGATAATGTTAAATGGATGTGCTTTATATTTCATATTATACTGTATAGATGTGTGTACTTTAGGAATAAATATTAAGATTACAAATTTAGACTATTAAATAAAGAATCTCTATGAGACGCTTGAAAATAAATGTCTAACAGTACAAAGCCCAAGTTGAACAAACGACAACGCCCATATGTTGGCTTTGAGATGTTACTGAACCCCACACCTTATATGATATCAAAAACTAATTTTGTAAATTATTTTACTGTTTTAGTGTATGTACACTTTTGCTTAACCTCCATGAAAACCAGTTGGATGGAACATCAACCATTAGCTTTCCCTAGTCTGGTTAAGAATTTGATTTGCGGGTCATCAAAACTCACCTGTCATGGATAGATTATATGGTGTCTTTTCGTGGCTCACGTATACTTGGAGGAGGACTTTGCAAGTTTATGCATAATGTCCCGTAAGGCTCAAAATATCTCTCTGTCAATACTAATTAGGCAATCGATAAGACAACACCGGCATTTTTATTGTGTGTTGCAGGCAAATCAAGAATTTTAGCATTCACAATAATTATATTTGCATGGTTATTTTCTTAAGTAATGGTGGTATGCTTTATTTATTTTTTTAGTATAAAGCTTTAGTTGCATATCGACGTGGAGGCTTTTATAGCAACAACAATTCTCGATTCCACATTAAAAATAGATGCATACAATTTATATTGTGAGTTTGATATTAATTCCGTGCATGCTAGAGGGATGTACACTTGAATGTAAAACCTCAAAGGAAATTTTTATGTACCAACAATCATCTTTTCTTCCTCAAAGACAATTGCAGGTTCAAATAGGGGGAGAAAAACAATTATAGGTTCTTATTTGGATATCAAAGTGTTCTTATGCTTTATCTAAATGAAAGTTGTTTGGATATCCTTTGCATTGCTATGATTTTGCTCTTCAAGTTGAAAAAAATCAAAAAATAAAGTTCCTGATTTTTCTGCTTGGTTCCAGTGTCAATCAAATTGTTTACAATGACACATTCTCTTATTCCATAAGTGTGCATTCACTTTATATTTCTTTATTATTAATACTAAATTCTACTTTAATATATTAATTTGATGTAAAGAGTATATCTTTCTTATAAGTAATTGTGTATCATTTTATAAGACAAAAGTTTAGTGTAAATATAAATATCCTACATAATCCCGTCTTTTGAAGTTTCAATCTTTCAAAATTGACACATTCACATTTACCTTGATGGATCTTGTTTAAGGTTCTAAATGAAAGTTAATATTATCATTATGTATCATCTTCAGCTTGAAAGAAGTTGAAAGATGTAGATAGAGAAAATATATTGTAAAGACCTGTTAGATGACAATACCTACAGGTTGAATCAAGTGTGCAGGCATAAGTTGTAGGTTTTATGCATGGTGAAAATATTCGTACTTGCTTTCCTTCCCACAAGTTGTGTCAGCGGAAGGAAAAGGGGGTTAATTTTAGCCGGTATAAACGTACAAGAAAAAAAAGGGACCTGGAAGTTTATAGAACAAAGTAACTGCTCGAGAGAAGATTAAGGCTGCTCTTTTCTTTAGTAAAGTTCATGGCTAACACACCCATGGTGGGTGATTTTCAAGATACCACATTTATTGTAACTGATAAATATTGAAAGCAATTTTTACACAACTTGAAGATATCAGTCAATGTGCATATATTTCGACATGCAGTTTTTACTTTTAATTTTGTCTCTGTCTTTGTTCTTTTGCATATTCGAATTTTAAGTATACATTATCATGAAAATTGTTAATAGAATTTAATTTCTTAGTTGCAATGTAAAGTAAAGCCACATTAGAATCTATTCTATATATTTCTAAAGGGATGATGGTCGACCAAGGGTACGAGAGTCATTTCGCTCAGCCATAAAAGTGCTTACCTGTTTAACTCTGTTATTGAGCTTTCCAGCCACCACCGCTCTCTTTTCTTACCTACTTTTCAGTTCTATTCGCTCTTCTTAGGTGTGGTGTTAAATTTTCAGGTTAGCTACTCTTTCAATTTTTGCCCAAATCTTCCTCTTTGTTTTAAAATTTATATATACTTTTGCAGGTTTCTAAAAAAATCTTATAGTATGACTCTTTGTTGGAAATAATGGTGAACTTCACATTATGGGTTTTGAAAAACAAATTTTCGGTGAAATCTTAACTCATTTTTCCTTCACTCTGTCAGATTCTTTATCCTTATCATATATGATTTAAATTTTGTCTTTTTTTTAAAGTTCCGATCGGATTTCTTTTAGGATTTGAAAGTAAGTCACGAGGGAGAAGAACTTCCTCAATTTGTTGGATGCTCCGTCTGTTTAAGTGAATACAATCTAATCTTCAATTGGCTTTCATGGGAGAACTGCAATTTACTATGAAGAAACCTATCTGCTTTGATTATAAAAAGTTATAGTGACAATTCATTTTGTTTCATCACCGAACTTCCCAATATTCAATTTCTTATGAGAGGTATATTCAGAAGGTGATGATTTAATTTGCTTCAATAATATTACATTATTGGCGTAGTATTATTCTTGTGCTTAGAAAGATTAAAAATGCATCTGTTTTGTACTCCCCACACAACCCAAAGTAAGCAAGAAATAATACCTCTCTTTTTTATGTCTCAGTTGCATGTCCATTACTGCTTTATTTGGTGATGTAAAATTTTGCCTTCCTCCGACTTTTTGTTTGGAAAAGTCTATTACTGATGCTTTTGTTACTTTTTTTTGTTTTATCTTGTTTACTTCAGCTTTCTTGCTCTTTTCTGTGGTAGTTGTACGTTCGTTTGTCTGTTTAGCACTTGGGAGCCCGATAAATATTGTCTTTTATTGGCTTTCATTTTTTCTTAGTTTCTTCATATTGAGGAGTCAAAATGATTCTGTTTCAGTATCTATGTATGTACATTTGTATGTATGATTCTATCATGCTTATATAATAGGTACTACATGCCTTACCTTATCTATTGAAAGACTAAATATCTATTTTCTGTACATACTGAAGTGCAATAAATTGCAGATATTGTGACAAAGTTCATTGAGGGACTTATCGAGGCCTATTCCAGGTTGCAATATCATAATGGTTTCCCTGAGGTGATCTATATTTAGTTGTTTCATTCACTTTTTTTGTTCACGTATTACTCTGTTGAGATAATAAGAGTTCCAAGGTTTAATTCTAATATGTTATCTTCTGTGCTGAACTCAGGTTTAGGTTGTCTTGAATGTTGATGCTTCTGGTGAAAAAGTATGCCAAGATCGTGATAATATCACGTCTTCCATTTGCACTATGTCTCATTTCTCTATTTCAACACTAGAATTTTCTTTTCATTAGTAGCACTAATAACTGTGCATTCAAAGCTCCATACATAAGTTGGAAATGGATGAAGCTTGATAGATTAGTCTAATTTGTATATTGATGAAACTAGAAAGCTTCTTATAATGAGTTACACTACACTACAGGTCTCTTCTGTGTAGCTTGCTCACCTCTTCTGAAAGAAAACAATAAATTTTTATGAGATCCTCTACAGTTTTGCGCTTAAAACTAAATACAATTTCTAGTAGTTCTTTAATATGCGATGACTAATCATTTTTATTTAATAGAGATGGAAAATTGTCAGTATAAAAGTGGCATACAAAAGTACTATAGAGCCTTAAAAAATTGGCTCTCTACAAATAACACCCAAATATCTATACTAATCAAGTCCTAATAAAATTTCACTAGATATCAAAAACATGCCTTCATGTGCACAAAATTATTGTCCACAACTTCAAGGCTTTCTTATTCATTTTCCTTCAAAGTACGCGCATAATAGTCAAGGAATTACATCCAATAGAGCAAGACTTTAGGTTTCATGTGTTTTATCTAAGGTTTAGGTTTAAAGATCTATATTTGAGGTTCAGAATGAACCATAATTTTTTTTTTGGTATAGTCACTCTTCTTGAAGATTGCACTTTTGAAAGATGTAGCTTTATTCAGTTGAATTAAAATTCACTGAACTGCTAAAAGGAACCTTCTTGATAAAAATAGATGTACGAAGATGAGAGGTTTATATGTCAGTTTTATCTTAGTTATATTTTATTAATTTTAGTTAATAATCTCTTATCGCAGGATGCTAAACCTTAGAAACCAAAATAGTCAGAACAAATCGATTGCATGAAACTGACACATTATGCTTAACATCGAGTCAATCTAAGACATGGTTGCATACAACTTATTCAAGGATACAAAATATAGCTTTGGTCTTAACATCTATATGATTTTTTACCGAAAGGTGTGGGACTAAATATCAAAGGACGAAAAGCCTGAAATTTTTTCTTTTGATCATCTTGGTGTAGCTTTTGCTTAAATGTTCGTGTTTGTCCCTCAATGTGTAAATTCTCTTCCTTCCCACCCGGAGTGGGAGTGATGGGAGGACCATGACCCAAAAATTAATCCTGGAATTATGATATCCTTATTATCAGTATTTTTCAACTCTTAGAAACTTTCGTCTTATGCACTAAAATTTGGCGCGGAGCTTTGTAATTTGAGGATTTACACTGCTAGAATACTTTGGTTGAACTCTCCACTAGAGCTTCGGTCTATTTGCATTATTCAAAATGGGGCATATAAGAAACTATGTTACTCGTTTAGATATCTTAGATCAGAAATGCTTGAGATTTTTCCGGTAAGAAGATTTTAATGGTAACTAATTGAGATGTTAATCATTTTAATCAGTTCAACTTTGCAAAATTAGATATGCACGTTCGTATTATTGGCAATTCATATCTTTGCTCATAGGGGCAGCTTACATTTCTTCAACTACACTCTAAATATGCCTTATAAAATGGTCATGCTCAATAACTAACTAATATTAAGTTTATCCACAATCAGAAATAAACTAAGTAATCTCCGCCAACTAGCTCAACCCTGCGAACCTGCAGTTTTAACCACACAACTCACTTACTTGATCTATAACTAATCTTTGGTAAAAGTGAGCAATTAAATATTTTTTACCATATTGACATAATCTTGTTTCTTGTTGTTGCTACTGTGTTAAAACACAAAATCAGAAAAACTGTTAGAAGAATAAAAGAAATTGGAAAAACAGTAAAGATTAAGAAATATTCCGAGTCCACAATTTGCTTGTGTGTCCTTAAAGAATTTTAACCCCCTCACACGTTGCCATGGTAATGGATTAAATCCTCCCAGGATAAAACGGAATAAACCTTCCTGCAACAGTGGCAATACAAACTGCAGGATACCGACGAACTTAAAGAACGGAGCAAAATCACACTTACGAATTTGAGAGAGAGAGACTGCGAATTAGAATGCAGTATTTTCAGAAAGAAGGAAGTTCTGTAATGTTTTTGGTGTGTTAAAAACGAAGCCATGCCTCAGAATTTATAGGCAATTATTGGAAGAGGTGTGATGTTTGTTCTGGAAAAGGTGCCAGACTATCCTTCTGAATATTCAGCAGTGATCTAGCATTTAATTAATTATTAAATAATTAATTAAATAAATTTTGTCCAAAAATAATCTTATCGATCGATCATTTGACAAATCCAAATCCAAATCCAAATCCGAAGCCGAAGCCGAAGCCGAGCCGAGCGACGACGACGACGACGCGAGGGATCATTCTCTTTAACTCCTTTTAAGAGCTATAAGAAGTGATTCTATATATAAGCACACAAATGTAGTTGTCCCTCACCAATGAGGGACAAAGTGCAAGTCAAAAGCTCACTTCATTCAAATTTTCATTTCCCTCCATTTTATTTCCCACCATTTCCAATTCACACTCTTATACTTTAAAGCCCAATACTTAAAGTCTTTGAAGCTCAATGCCTTTAAAGTCCAACAATCCCCCACATGAATGGGAATGGCTGTAACAAGAATGATCATAGATGAAAGCTGTGTGATTTGCAAGTAAGGATTAATCGCATCTGGATAAGTAGGTTTCCCTTTGAACTTTCCGTAGTGAACATATGTCGGATATACTCGGTCTATCGGTAGATTTGATATCTTTGAACCGTCGAACTTTAGTGTATACCTAGACAACCATATGTCACACAACCAACCCTTAACTGTCTTTTGGTTCTCATTGTTGTGTTCGTTTCAGCCATGAACACCGTCTGGTTTCATAAGTGCGTAGAGAATTGGCCTTACAGAATTCTCATTGAAGCGGCTTCCACTTCACACTTACATAGGTGATTCCTAAACGTGTAATCCTTTAGATTGACACTATTTGATAAATACCACATCAAACTTAGGTAATCATTAAAGAACGTGTGAGGTTCTATCCTTGTTACTGAACATTGTCTTCATCACGAGAAGGGACCAAAGATTTTACTTTGACAATGTTGAACCGGTCAATCACAACTTTGTTTGAGCTCCTTGAACCTAGATCTCGGAACATCCAAAATTCTAGGTAGAGTTACCGTCATGTTGACTTGTCCTAGGCCATAGTCCCATTCCCTTAGATGATTTCTCAACTCCCTCTCTAGTTAAGCCTTTTGTAAGCGGATCCGTCACATTCCTTTGATCTTACATAATCAATAGTGATAATTCCACTAGAAAGTAGTTGTCTAACGGTGTTATGTCTTCGTCGTATATGACGAGACTTTTCGTTATACATAACGCTCCCTGCCCGTCCTATTGCAGCCTCACTATCGCAATGTATGCAAATAGTAGCCAAAGGTTTTGGCCAGAACGGAATGTCTTCTAAGAAATTTCGAAGCCATTTAGCTTCTTCACCGGCTTTATCCAAAGCTATAAACTCTGATTCCATTGTAGAGCGATTGATGCACGTTTGTTTGGAAGACTTCCAAGATACTGCTCCTCCACCAACAGTAAAAACATATCCACTTGTGGACTTTGTTTCTGTTGAGCCGGTTATCCAATTTGCATCACTATATCCTTCGATAACCGCAGGATATTTATTGTAGTGCAAAGCGTAGTCTTGGGTATATTCCAAATATCCCAGAACTCGTTTCATTGCTACCCAGTGATGTTTGTTGGGATTACTTGTGAATCGACTAAGTTTACTTATCGCACAAGCTATATCAGGTCGTGTACAGTTCATGATGTACATTAAGCATCCCAACACATGAGCATACTCCAATTGAGACGTACTTTCACCTTTATTCTTTATAAGATGATGATTTAAGTCAATTGGAGTTCTTGCACTTCTAAATTCCAAATGTTTGAATTTTTCAAGTACCATTTTCACGTAATGTGATTGAGACAAAGCTAGACCCTGAGGAGTCCTCTTGATTTTAATTCCTAGAATTACATCGGCAACTCCTAAGTCTTTCATATCAAACTTACTAGCAAGCATGCGCTTAGTAGCTTGAATGTCGGCAATGTCTTTGCTCATTATTAGCATATCATCAACATATAAGCAAACAATGACTATATGATTTGGAACGTTCTTAATGTAAACACATTTATCACATTCATTAATCTTAAAGCCATTTGACAACATTGTTTGGTCAAACATGCCATTGCTTGGGTGCTTGTTTTAGTCCATAAAGGGACTTAACAAGTCGACACACCTTTTTTTCTTTTCCCGGAACCACAAACCCTTTAGGTTGGTCCATGTAAATTTCTTCCTCTAAATCACCATTTAAGAAGGCTGTTTTTACATCCATTTGATGGATTTGAAGATCATACAAGGCGGCTAACGCTATTAGCATCCGAATGGATGTAATTCTTGTTACCGGCGAGTATGTGTCAAAATAGTCAAGACCTTCTCGCTGTCTAAACCCTTTAACAACAAGTCTTGCTTTGTATTTGTCAATAGTACCATCGTCTTTCATTTCTTCTTGAAAATCCATTTAGAACCCAATATTTTGTTACCTGGAGGAAGATCAACCAATTCCCAGGTATGGTTGCTCAATATGGATTCTATTTCACTATTGACAGCTTTTTTCCAATATTGTGCTTCTGAGGAAGACATTGCTTCCTTGAAGGTACGAGGCTCATTTTCTAGCAGGAAAGTCAGAAAATCTGGACCAAATGAAGTAGATACCCGTTGACGTTTACTTCTTCTCGGATTTTCCTCATTAGGCATACCATCCGTTATTTCCTCCCGAGGTCGTTTTGACTTTTGGTAGGTCACTTCACTTTCCTTTTTATACAGATAAATAGTTTCAAAGAATTCAGCATTATCTGATTCTATTATCGTATTAACGTGAATCTCAGGATTTTCTGACTTATGAACCAGAAAATGATAAGCCTTGCTATTGGTTACATATCCAATAAATACACAATCAATCGTTTTTGGACCTATCTTAACCTTTTTAGGTTTAGGAACTTGTACCTTAGCTAAACACCCCCACACTTTGAAGTATTTCAAGCTGGGCTTCCTTCCTTTCCATTTTTCATAGGGAATGGACTGTGTTTTACTATGAGGTACACGGTTGATTATTCGGTTAGCTGTAAGTATAGATTTCCCCTACAAGTTCTGTGGTAAACCAGAACTTATCAACAACGCATTCATCATCACTTTCAACGTTCGATTCTTTCTCTCCGCAATTCCA